CATCTCCCTAATGTACTACTTAATACTGCTTGGTCCAAATTCAAGTCGGATTTCTCAAGAAATAACCGACCACAGTGAGGCCCCAATTGGAATTAAAAATGGGTCAGCAAAAATGAAATATTACCTGACATTCACGGTCGGTGTTGCACCAATTGGTGGAACGGCGGCTATTCATCCTACACTTTACGTTCAGTAGCGCGGTGGGTGGACATCGATCGTTCTCTATTGATCGGACTCTGAATCGAAAGGAAAGTTCAGGAAATTCGATACAAAATTTCAAAGCTATAAACTTATAATAGCAAGCGCGTTGAATGCTGAAGCGTTCTCCGTGTTGAAAATCTCACTGGGAGGAGCCACGCATCTAAATTTGGTCGAGATTTTCGGAAACCTTTTGTAGCGCGTAAAAGCCTGGTTGTGGCTTTTGAGCAGGTCAATGACCAAAAACTACTTGTGTGATTCCCTTGGGCAACTAGGAAAAAAACCTCATATGAACGACATAAAATAGGAACGGTATGGCTCGTTTCGAGCTTCCTGAGACGACCTTGTAGTCTAGCGCCCCCTAAACCCGACCCGGTGAGTTTTATTAGAATGGGCTTCGTTAGTACGTTAAATTCTCAAAATTGCTTGTTTTGTTTGTTAACTGCTGTTTTTGGCCGCAGTTCGCCTTGCGAATGTTTCACAAGAATGCTGGGTTGTGAACAAAACTTTCGCCCCAGGCGGGACTAGAACCCGCACCTCTCGCTTTCCGGGCAAAGCATTCTAAGCTTTCAGCCTCGCGGTCATTGCCGATATCGGCTAACCGGCTCAACACGTTAGACGTGTGAGTGCTGAAAGCTATGGTACGTATACCATGAAAAGCTGAGTTGGAATGAAATGGTGCCCCGGTAGCGTAACTGGTAGCGCACTTGCCCGGAAAGCGAGAGGTGCGGGTTCTAGTCCCGCCTGGGGCGAAAGTTTTGTTCACAACCCAGCATTCTTGTGAAACATTCGCATTATCGAGTGTGCATTGCGCCGGCTGGTGGCGCCCCTATCTTGTTGTTCAACTAGATCCTTACCTGTCCAAATCCATGTCTATTATTCGTTGGTTATTATGTCGTTAGCTTACGATCTAAAAGTTTCCGGCACACATCAACACTCGTGTTCGGTAAGGGGGTGGGGATGAACTCCAGGTAGCGCTGCACGAACGCGACTTCTGCGCAGAATGCTGCGGATGGTGGAACGGGGAGTAGCAGTCGTTCCTTTCCATTTCCTCAGACTTTGAGAAGGACTGCTTCGAGCGGAAGCTAGAACAGTGTCGGTCTCAGCGGAACGTGGACGTCCTCTGGGAGGAGCTTTCATCGAGGCGAATCTCTCCTCTAGAGATGTGAGCGTACCGCCTATAGCAGGTAGCAGTTAAAGCGAGAGATTACGATAATGTACATATGTGTGCTGCATGGAAGAACCTGCACCAGTTCGAGTAGTAGCCAGGGGTTGAAGGGACAGAGACTTGGCTTTTTCGTGGCTGAAATTGCGCTAGTTGCAGCGCCCTGGGGCTGCAATCTGAGCTGAGCCTCCGCCCCCAGCAGCCGTATTTTCGATTATCATTTTGATAAGGTATTCCACGTCGAACGCGTATCCTGTAACTTCCGCATGGAATGCATTACCAATCAAAACATGAGCTATTGCTAGTAAGATGGTGGCTATCGGTTTACCATGTGCAAACGACCTCTTAGTTGGTTGCTAGCTCGTCCATTATCGGAGGTCAACGGGCAAAGGAAGTGGTCCCATTTTGCGCGTTTTTGACGGATTTCTTTGCTTTTTTCGCTACTAGGGCATTATTCAGCATCTTCACTTCCACTATGAACACAACAGAATCCTATCGCAATCTCTCGCTTTAAGGTGCACTGCTGCCCATCAACGACTATAACTCAGTCCACGTTTGAGGGGCAGGAGTGACCAGATTGGTAGTAATGAAGCAGAAGGCGTCGGTATTTTTGTCGATCGATTGATGATGACTTACTTCCAACGATGAAGTATAATATCGTTTAGCTGTGGTGACGAGTCTACCAACAGTCACCCTTTCGGCCATTTGTTCTTTGGCTTCGCTTTAGCGCATTTGCGCGCAACATGCTTTTGGAATTTAGGAACTAAATTCCCTCAAAACTTTTGGGACACCCAATACTTGAAAGCAACATTTAACTCACCGTTATCGAGCACATGCCCAGTGGACGGAAGGCAGATGTTGTAACCGCAGCCTATCAAAACAGTAATAAGTAATTATGATGTTTAAAATAATGAAAATATTAGGAATAACTAGAAAAAACAGTAATCCATTTCTACTATAAGGGTCTAGAAATGCTGATGAGAAAGGAGGAAAAGGAAAAACAATGAGGAAAAAATGAAAAAATTAACCTGTATCGCAGCAGAGGTGAACCGAACCAGCAGAGCAGTCCGAATCCGATTGGCACCAATTCGTCACAGCTCTCTTGTTTCCATAACTGCACGTGTAGCCCATTGCGCCGGGTGATGGACAAGCACTTGGGTTACTAGAAAAACATATGAACTCTCTAGATTCGAAGGATCAAAAAGGAAAAGACCTGGGTAGCAAGACGTTAGCCGTCGTGCTTATACAGCACCGTCCATCGTCGTCCTCAGAGAGACAGCTGTAGCCCGATTCGCACGATGATTTGTCCTCACGACAATCCTGCTATAAAATTTACTTTCCAACTTCATCTCTGTCCACCTGATCACCTGTCCGAGTACCTTGTATTCCTTCGTTTTGCACAAAGCCCATTTGCTTGTTCTGAATGAGATGGCTTTGCGTTGAGCTTCTCTTTCCTCCAATATTGCAATCATCTTCGCTAGGCGACTGCCTTCTGTAGTTGCGAATTCTGGAACGGGATATTCTGGAACGGCTTATCTCATTCACTGGACACTGCGCAAGGAACAGCAAAGATGAACTTATATTGAGACTTTTCAACCGTCACTTGAGAGTTTTTTGGCCGCGCGGGTTCGGCTGATTTGGCGAGCGCGGTCACGTCCCCCCATTCACGGGGATTTCGATTACAAGAGTACACAAAACATGGACGATGTAAAACTTTCTAGTTTTTTCTCAGTTGGGATGCTATCTAGAGGCATAACAGTGGAATTTCGATATCAAGCACGTGGAGTAGCAAGAAACAGGGTTCAATCAAAGGAATTCATCAAGGGGAAAATCATGATTCTATTTCACCCATGAATCACTGGCTTTTGACCCATCGTCCACGATTGGCACGAAAGGAACAAAAAATTGCGTTTGTTTCGGTAAACAGTTCGAAAAACAGGAGCAGCTACGCGTTCAAATCCCCGCCAGTCATCTGTCACAAGTGCTGGCTGCGGGAATGGTTCCAATTGGGTTTTCGGAGTGCCGTAACTGGAAACTCTTTTTAACCTTTCGACTTATTGCACTGACATCTCACCCTTCAAAATCTATCGATGTTTTGTCTCGATTCTCCAGAAATCAAATGCTTCGACCCGATTCTTTAAATGCGTCGCCTGCTACGTGATCAAAACAAGGCGTACTTCTTTCATGCTCCGCCTTTGGCGCGGCGCGATCTACCTCGGATCCGTCCATAGAGAATTTCTGGTAGATCTATAAGCTGACACGGGAAACCCCTCGGGAAGCTGGCTCCCGTTTCTGAACATTCAAGTTAAATTGCAGGGTGGCATGCTTTCTACGAAATGGTACAGGAAGCCCAGCAACAAGAACATCATCGTTCACTGTCAGTCAGCCCACCCTTCAGACCAAGCGAGCTGTTGTAAGGAACATGTTCCGAACAGCGGCTAGAGTTTGCACTGGAGAGGATGAGCGCAAGGAATCACTGGCGATTGCGCGTGAAATAGCTGAGCTCAATGGCTACGGGAAACCTCCGACCTCCCACAGAGCAAGAAACGGCGGCCCGGGCAACAGACCCGGTGGTGAATTTCCTCAATGGCAAAATCCCATTTATGCTACCATTTATCTCTGAGGAAGTTAGCATTTCCATAAGAAAGTGTCTGAGGAGGTCGGGTCTAGAAAATACAGTTGCCATTTTAGATGTGCCACCCAGTAATCTGAAGCATCGCCTCGTACGCAATCGGCTCTACGACCGCTCATGTACCACCCCAAATTGTGTGGTCTGTCCGACCGGTAGGGAGGGCGACTGCACAGTCTCAGGGGTGGTCTACAAGATCACATGCAGCAGCTGCGGGGACGAGTACATTGGTGAGACAGCGAGGCCACTCCATGTACGTATAAAGGAACACCTGGACGGCAAAAACAACTCCCGCCTGTCAACTGCCTTAGGGGCCCATAGGGTTCAAATCCATAACGGAGAGGATTTTGGGGTCACGGCCGAGGTCATGGCGCGCGAACATCAGACCGCAGCGCGAAAAACCCTCGAGGCATTTTGGATACAGGTCACTGGTCCAAAAATGAACCGGAGGGAAGAATGCCTTACTATTACGCGGGAGCTGAGGCCTTATATAAGGATGGCCTTCCACCAGTAACTCTAAATCAAGTTTAGTCCGGATTGCTGTGTGTCCCACTACTGGTTCCGGGTGGTCTCGAGTACCGGACTAAGTTACGGTAAGTGGCTCCACCTTGGTATTGCGTGATGACCTGTTTTGTTCTCGAATTTCAGTAGGATAGCGGAGGCGTTTGGTCGGGTAGTCATAAATTGCTTCGATCCTTTCAGGCTCTGAAGAAGGCGACCCCGCCGAAACGTAAGCCAATAAAGTCTGCTTAACAACCTCGTGGAGAGCTTACAGAAGATATCAGCCATCAATATATCATGCCGAGGTTCTTGCAAAGCCGTACATTTCGACTTCTGTAATCTGTTGCTCTGTCGGGAAAACTGAATCTTGCTGCGAAATGCCTTGCCGTTTTGAGTTGCAGAGCTTACACATTGACGGTTAAAAAAGCATAAAGAATTCCGGAAGGATTCATAAGCCTATGATAGCTGAGGACAGTCAAAAGCCATGTTACCTATACTCGGTTTCAACCAAACCCTTCTCTCGCATCATCAAGATTCCGTATCGCTTGGACTACTCTTCTTTTTAAGTTTATTGAAGAAGAAAGACAAAAATGAAGCGAACTAAAAGTTTAGTAAAGGCAAACTTCGGTAAATTTAAAAGGCATATCAGACATTTAGGGCACTACGCTTGCAGCTATGCATGAGATTTTTCTTCAGAGTGCAAAGAACTTGAAAAAATCGCAGATGCGCAGGAAAAACGGAAGTGTTGTGTGCAGAATATACAGGTTTCGTGCAGCCCTGCATGGTCTTCAAAGTGCTGGAAGTTTCGTCCCGCGCGTTGACAAGGTGTCAATCCTGCTCGCCTCTATTTGACATGCAAGTGCCAACAATCAACAAATAGAACTTTGTCTTTCGCCATTACCATTCCCAATTCCAAAAAAATTCCAGCAAATGGTGCTAAGGAGAAATGGCGTTGTAGCTCACTGACCTCGCTGAAGTGTATTCTCTAATCCTACTCATCTTGGAGTGGGCAGTTTCAACCGTGCGTTGCGAAGAATTCAAAATTTTTACGACCTGCCTCCTTGAGGAGGATGTCTGGAGATGACCCCTGAAGGAGGGGTCTCCATCTCCAGCAACTAACCTCACCATCGTGGCTGCTGCTTTAGCATTTGATCCCAAGACGATTGGAACCAGCCCATCTCCTTGTTTGAACGGAAAACAGTGGGGAGAGAAGGGGAAGGGCAAGCTTAGGGAGGGGGGGGGGAGTAAATGTGTCCAAACAAACAAAAATTCTGTATAGTTTATCCCATCGCTACGTATTTCATGAAGTTCTACCCAGATTGTCACAAGACCTATTGAACACCACCCCTCTACTAGCACCATGACTCCCACAACTTTAAAAAAACGGCCTCCTTTTCCTCCTTTACCTTCACCACCCAAAATACGACCCTCCTCTCCGAAAAAAACTCAAATACGACCTCCTCGTTGAGAACTGCGCAACACATGGTTGACCTGGAAGACGGTCTTCACTCGTCGGTCTTTGCGGTCTCACATACGGAACTGTAAACGCCAGGCAGATCGCTATGAAAGAAAAATTATTAAAAAGAATGCCAGATGAGGCCCTTTCCGAAATGGATAGGATTGAAAGTAGTTTTGGTGAGAGATGAATATAAAACTGGAGTTTCCTAGTAGGGCATAGGCAAAAGAAAACAAACCGACCGAAAACCCGGGGGATCCTGCTGTCGCTCTTGAATTTAAAGTTGGACGAGTTTTCCGCTTCCATAAAAGTCGTCTAGGTGAAGTCAAACACTGGCATCATGCCAACGGTACAGTTGCTGTTCCGATGTCCGTCGCCACTTAGAAACGAAAATCGAACTATGAGGGTAACGGTACAAACATTGACGCTGTCAACTCCTGCAATCGCGCTACCTCCTACCTATTGGCCGCTAATCCTGATACATGCCTGACACGTGCCAGCGGTGAGTGTGTCTAAGAACTGGAGGCGTCTTGAAAATGTTCAGC